GACATATTTGCCTGTCTCCGCTGTAACTTTGCACTTTGTGCTAACAGTGATAAAGACAGACAGGTAGTGTCATTAGTTGGCTGTCCCCAGCAGGTACCCAGACAGGCCTGTGGATCTCTCCACTGTCTGGACTTTAAAGTAACTCTTCCATAAACCTCTCTCTCTCTACCCTGCCAGGGCATGAGCAACTCTCCTGGCAGGAAATCCTTTAATCTTGACCCATGGTGGAGTGATGACCCACAGACACAAACTGGCTATCTCTGTAACTGAGAGCTGAAGCATGTGCTCAGGTGTGTATGTGTGTGTGGCATCCATCTTAGGCAGGAAACTCAATTTGATTTGGATGCAGGGAAGGCGAGAGACTGAGATGCTGAAATGCATTTGTGCCGCTTCTCTCTTTAAACATGATTTCAATATTCAATTTTCAATATTCAATACACACACACACACACACACACACACACACACACACAGAAAAGAAACATGCATAAAACATCATGAAAACATGAAAAAGCACAAAAACACAGACACACAAATACATATGAACAGGCCCCAGATACACAGACACAAGAAGACATGAATGTATGAACACAAATAAACAGAGCAACAGGCCCAAAACAACAGCGGAAGAGAAGTGCGGGAACAAATCAGTGAAACGGAAGGAGAGTGTGAGAACAAAAGAGTGAAAGAAAGGGTTAGAAACAGTCTTTTTCCTCCGTTGGTTGCCAGGCTGCCAGAAGAGATTAACACACTTTTTTTTTTCCTTCTGCTTACTTTCCTTTCCTTCTTGTCCCTCTGTTTCTTTTTCTACCTCTTTCTTACTGCGCTCTCATCTCTCTGCCTCCCGACTGACATATGATTTTTCCTTCTTTCATCCCATTTCCTTTCTCTCTGGCACATCTAATGCCCTCCCTACATGTGCCCACTCATCTACGCCATGTTGCACTCTAAGTCTAACCAAAAGAAAAAACGAAAAAGAAAAAATTTTTGATTGATGATTAATGTTTACATTTGAGATTATAGATAAAAACCTGTTTTGATGCATAATTTAACTGTGATTTAGAGCAAAAGAAAGTCAAGCATCAAATTTTGCACCTAACTGACAGATGACTCACAAGGTCAAACATATAGAATTTTGGAAGCTAGCATTAGCTAATAGTAATGTGTGGTGATGAATGATGGATGGAAGAAAGTGGCTTAATGTTAAAAGAAAATTCAACTGACCAAAAGTCGACCAGCTTGGAATCAAGGATGGCAAGGAGGACGAGGACGAGAGGATGAAATCACAAGAGAAAGCCAAGCTAACATTAACCTGAGCCCTGCAGCTGCTGTCATCGGTTCATGGGGGCTCGGGTGTGAGTGGATCACAACTTCAGCCTCCAGATGATGATAGACCTAATCAAAGTGGTTCTACAGCACAGCACTACAGCACTCTGACTCAAACTGAAAATGCTTGCGTTACGCTGTGGTATACTCTGACGCAGACATGGAGTGAGTGAGTGAGTTTTTTTTTTTTTTTTTACTTTCTAATATTTTTCTGTATCAAGTTGCTCAGCATCTTAGTACTGATGTATTATCAGTAGTGAAGGTTTTCTTGTCATATAGTAATATTGGCATTTTTTCCCTGTAAGAGTAACAGTATGTTTCTTACCCTCTGTGGAAACTGAATGCCCCTTCATTCAGGTTAACCTGGCTACTGGGCTGCTTCCACTTCTTCCTTTCCTGTTTCTCTCTTCATTCATGACGCTTCGTTCTTTGTCTTCCACCTCTCTTCATGTTTCATTTTCACTCTCTTTACTTCATCTGTGTGTTTTCCACTCCCTTCTTCCCTCATCTTCATCTCTTCCTCAATGTATCATTTTCCCGTTTCTCTCTTCACTGTTTCCTTTCCCCTACCTTACAACCTTGAAGTCCTTCACTCTCTTTCCTCTTCCTTTCCTTTTTCATTCCTGTCTCCTATCCTCCTCTTGATGCACTGTTCTCTCCATCCCTCTCCCCCATCCTCTTGCTTTCTCCTTCCTTTTCCCTCCTAGTTTTTCTCTTCTCATCTCGTTCTGCGCAGAAAAAAATAGAAACCTACTGAAATTGAACTCATAACAACTAATTTACATACATATAGTGCGTTTCTATATAACTCAGTCACCTCAGACACCAGTGTGCTTCCTGATAACAGCTAGGAAACCTGCCAAAACACATAACCTACTTTGGTGTGTGTGCATCTCTGTGTGTGTCTGTGTCTCTGTGTGTGTACTAGGTGAATGACAAATTAGGCTGACTCTGGCCTGCCATCTTTTAACCACAATTAGAAAGCTTTTCTGACAGACTGTCAGACTCAAGGCTAGAAAACACACACACAAGAGAGAGAGTGAGAGAGGGAGAGAGGGAGAGAGGGAGAGAGGGAGAGGGAGAGTACACACACGTCTGGAGGCACCCAGCAGCTTACAGACAGACGTGGAAGAATGACGTATGAGCAGACACCATTTCCAAACCATGATACACGTGCACAGACACAAACACACACACACACACGCAAACACACACGTACGCAGTGATGCATGGCCATCATTACCCGCACCCCTCCCTTGACAGCTGTTCCCTCAGCAGAGCGCCCTGCCATGGTACTCTACTGTGAACACTTGTGCGCGCACACACACACACTATATCTCACCACCCCTCTGAGAGTATAGACACAACATGTTAATCACTAGAGAGGTCAAAAGTACACACACATACATACTGTATATATCAAATATATTTATAAAATAAATGCAAGTGAATGTGATGGCACCACATGGCACAGCAGAAAGCCGCCAAGAGTCACATCCAGAGTGATGAGCAGTTCTGGTTCGTATCTGTCTTGATTTCTTTCTAAAATGGGAAATTGTTCTTTTTACCAAATGGAGAGCCGTTAGTCTGCAGATGCATTATTTGAGTGCCAAGAATTTCAAAATAAGCGCTATAGTTAAACTGAACTACAACTGAAACTATAACTTCTTTTTTTTAATATACATTTTATGTCCAACAGTCAGACACTACATAAGTTACTCCTGCAACTTTTTCAAGAGTGTGGTGAATCCAGCTCCAAAAATAGCTGAGTGGAAGAGAAGAAGAGGAAGTGCCACATGGCTAAATTAGGTGTTAGTCCACTGTTGTTTGCCTTCCAGCTGATAGTCAGGGAACACAATCTATGTGTCAGATCTGGACTCATTTTGACAGGAAAAACAAGTCTGAAAGTACAGCTAAAGTCAACACACATATTATATATTATATATATTATGTAATTTTATACCTGCACCACTCTCTTTCTATGCACCCCTAAAATAAAAGGTGTTTTCTTTTCTGGTCATGAATTTCAGCCACTAAGTGCTCTTTTATTTTTCCACATTAACTTGGAGAGAGAGTGAAAAAGAGAGGTTGAGTACAAAGTGATACTGCCAAACTGGAACAATCAGAGGAGCTGCTCTGCCAAGTAAACGACAGAAGGCCAGAAAGAAAAAGTACTTGTCCTCACTTTCACCCTGGCTAATATCGCTCGCACGATTCTTGAGTGTATCTCTAGGTTCTTTTTTTTTTCCTCTCTCACTTAATCTCATCCTCCCTTCCTTCCGTTCCTCACATGCCTTCTTCCCTTTGCTCTCACTCTCTTTATCCTCTTCTTCATCTTTCCCTCCCGTCTGAGTTGCTGCCTCCTGCAGTTTCAGAGACTTTAGGCAAATAGTGTACAAATCACTGAGGTTGTACAAAAAGCACCCAAAGTGCCCTACAGTTATAGTTTTGCAGCTTTACAGGCCAAGTTTTCAGAGAAATACCCTGCTTTAATGATGTGACTACGGGATACAATTTTCTCAGCAGTCCATTTTGATATGTAATGACAAACCAAATACTATGGTTTAAAGGAAAGTTAGTTGAATTTTTAACAGTGAATATGTGAGCTTCTGCTTCGTTGATTCTTCAGCTGTTTTAAAAGAGGCCAAAAGTAGCAATGAGCCCACTGAAAAGAAGCTTTGAAGTGCAAGTCTTAAACGGCAGAACTGCAAATGATGTGATTCAGTTCAAATTGTCCAGGAGACCGAACTGTACATGTATACCAACTTTTATTAAACTATAAATGAAAGATTTTGTGTACCATGCAACAACTAAACAAATCCCATGGTAGAGCCAACCCTAATTCACTTTATATTCACTTCACTACGTCTATAACCATAATTGCTTTTTGTGTATTCAGACCTGCAAGCATCACAATCCAGCTGCTTCAACAACACAATAAAAAACATAAAGAAATTCCACAGGTGATTGTTTCTGATGCATAATGAAACAAAATCATTTTATAGACCACAACAGAAATTAGAGATTAGCATATTTCCATCTGTTGAAGACCCATATTTAATTTTATTTACTAGCAGGGCATGAGGAGGGGTTGACATTATCTTTCTGGAGGCCTCTGGATGTTGTTAAAATTAATATTACAGATCTAAATGCTACGTTTGAAATATAAAATTTTTATTTGATTCCATTTGATGAGCCTGCAGCCTCTATAACAGCATCCCTTGCACTCCTGTACAGTTCAGGTGCATCATTTATAACATTCTGCACTGGAGTGTGTCACGACCGCTGTCCAAGGTGCTGAACCTGAGGCCACCAGGGATGTGATTGCTGTCCGTGGTGCTGACCATTGTTCACACTGCTGCGCAGGATCCCTGCTGCTGTAATCTGACACCCAGCAGAGAACTCCAGTTAATTTCCCTGTCATTATTCCCATCTGTTCCTGTAGCTGAGTCTCGACACCACCTTGTTAATTTACATCACCTCAGTCAAGTCTGCTCCTCATCATCATTTAGAGAGAGTTTAAGAGTTTACTTGTCACAAGTCTGTGATTGTATACCTTTGAGTCTGGCCAGATGAGGTTTGCTCACCTTTACTCTGTTGTAGGAACATTTGTCAATTTAAATTTCCTGTATGCTTCAATCTGATTGTCTGTACAGGAGAGACTGAAACTTTACCAAGCTCGCCTTGTCTTCTCTGTTTCTGGGTTCTCTCCTGAGCCATGGTGCATATAAGGTATGTTTTTTATTCTTTCAGTGCTTGTGACAGTCACAGGAATAGTTAGAAATAATTTAATAGCTATGGCTACATTGAGCACACCTGACAGAATAGAGCAGCAGCTTATGAACAGTGTGTACACCACATTTTCAGCTATACTTACAATATTTTTTTCACACCAAGATCGTCTCCTAAACGAACTCTAACATAATGCACAGTGTATTTAATTTCAACATAACGCATATGAGCCTGAGGCCCTTTGTGTTATTTTGCATTCCAGATAGCCCTGGGAGTTTGGGGCCTGCCCACCTACGGAGCTGCTGGGATATATGTTACAGCCCAGTATGCAACAACATTCGCAACTACAATATAAGCAAAGTTGACATGTGTGCAGGATATTACACAGAACACTGGGTGATAGAGTAAACGACAGGTAGTGTGAGTTTGTGTGAGTGAAGGAGACTTTTCTCTTAAAACTTAAAGTTACATCACAACAGGCAAACCGCAGACTTCCATTTCCCCATTATCATCTAGTCCTTTTCTAATTTCCTCTTCTTTTTTATGTTCTCTTGTCTTTTCACTTTGCCAACTCATTCTCATTCTCAGACTCCTCTCTTCTCCCTCATCATCCTTCCCTTTTTTCCCCTCTTTCTTCCAATACTCTTTTTCCAACACCCATTCCCATCTCCTATGCTTCTTTCTCTGTTTCTCACAGTCCTCTCTCTCCCACTCTCATATCATGCGATTGTCTGTGCAGTTGGAAGCTTTATATCCCTCTCTCCTTTCAGATACAGCACCAAGGCGTTTTAATCCTTCAACCGTTGCCAAAAAATGCAGGAAATTCCAATCGATAAACTGTGATCTTTGCTATTCACCTCCCCTTGTCTCTCATCTCCTACTTTCCTCTGTCCTTAACATTTCTTTATTCAAATATGCAGTCCTTTCTTTTCACTTAAAATCCAAACATTCTCTTTCTCTCTTTTCTCTTGCCTGTCTGCCCTCCCTTTTTGCCCTGACCTCTACGCACTGCATGCCAATTTGTTATTAGTTTTAGACTGTGTCCAACATGGGGATAGGTAAATTGCAGCAGTTTCCACTATTTTGTGCATCTTTAAAAACTTTTTTTATTTTTCTACCAAAAATTGCAGAGGGATATGTTTTTCAACACTGAAATGTTGCTCTCTGCAGTGAGAAAAAGCCTCTAGCAGCATCATTGTCATCATCATACATACTCAAAGCCAAATTCAAATGTTGCAATACAAGTGTAACCCACTTTCTCTGTGCCCTTCTCTTGCAGGTACCTCTCCTGCATACCCTTAGTCACAGCCAGTCACAGTCTCTGGTCTCTGTATTGTGTTTTTCTTTGTGTGTTGTGCTCTCTTATGTAGAGAAGAAAACACTGGGCAGTAGCTTCTGTATTGTGTAGCGCATTAATGTCTTGGCAAAACAAATCTTGGACCCTGTTCTGCTCTACACCACAGTGGACACTTGGATACGTCATATTTGGAGTCATGTAAGTTTGTTTTCTTCTGACAGTGCACATAACATGACATTAGTGATAATATTTCTCATCTTTCTTTGATACAAAATTCTATTTAATTGATAGAAATCACTCTTGGCTTATGGTAAAAGGAAATGAATGAAAGAAAAGAAACAGAGCAGCAATTCTCATTGGATGGATTTTCTATCTGGAGATCCAGTAATATTAAGAACATATGGAGTTACTCCAGAAAAGGATATGTTTGCTGCCTTCAGTTTTACCTTAAAATAACATCATCTGGAGGAAGCAGAGGTGTAGGGAAAACAACAGCTAATGACTACTGGGTATGTCAGCCAGTTGCTCAGTTGTATCAGTTACGCTCATGATGTCAGGCAGCACCAATTCTCTATTCACACACAGCCTTCTCACTAAAATTAAAAGCAGTTACATGAAATGTGTAATTAAATACATAAAATGTGTATCCAACAGCATATAACGTAAGTATCTTCTAATCAAACCTACATTAATATAATACCTAAAATCTTAATAAGCATATAACATTAATAGGTGAGGTGTGTCCATACTTTTAGCTCTGCTATTTAAACTCTATTGCCAAACAACGTTTTTCAACATTGTTTTTCTACATTATCTACACAGGGCAGATATGTGGAAAGTTAGGGAAAGATCTAAGAACTATGGTTTAGGTATGTTTCAGATTAGGACCAAAACACTTGGTTAAAGGTACTATATGTAACAATGTGAATTTACATGTATTAATTTTTTTTTTTAATTGTTAATGTGTTAACGGATTGTAACGTACCTTAAATAAAATGAGACCTTTCTCAACTTTCTCAGTTACCTATAATTAGCCTGTGGACTGATTTAATGCTTGTCCAGCGTACCTTGCCTCAATGCTCTCTTCCGCTTCCCAACATCACCAAGAGTGTGCTCAACTAGCTCGACATGCCACACTGGCACAAAAAACAAACAAACAAAAGTTTTGTGAAGTCCATCTGGTCAAACAGGAATGTGACGACGTTTGCAGTAAACAAGGGTTAACATCACCTGATGACGATATTACGCTTTATAAATCCTATTTCCTGCCAGCACTGCAGAGTGAAATACAGTCAAAAGTTTATAGTCAAACTATACTTACAGTGTAACTTTAGTCAACTATCAAGATGATGCCTGTCAGTCACGTTCAGTCTCACATAGTTGTACTGGCCATCAGGACTACAGGACAAATCCCTGTGGGCTGCCGCATCAGTGGGCCGGAAAACCTTCAAGATATCCATAAAGTTTTTCCTGTCCCTCTCAGTCTCACTCGGGGTGTGCATGAGAGAGTGCTGCATGTGTGTTCCAGCAGATAGGTCAAGGGCACTGCCAGAAGACGTTCCTTCCATGTACTTGGTGTTACGTCGCCGCCAGTCTCTCGTCTGCAGTCCCAATTAATCCCATTCAAAACTCCACATGGTCTGGCAGCGATGGAAGGGTAGACCGTTTTTTCTTCTTCTCCTGGTAATCCTTTAATTGGCACGATCCAAGTGCCATACAGTGCTGATTTACCTTCCCGGTAAGACCATCACGTCACTGTTTTGGCGGATGCCCAGAATACTCACTCATGCATACCTACACAGTCCAAGTGTGAGCAACAGGTTACTGACTGGAATTCCCTTAACTGAGTTTTCTGGATGTTATATATAGTACCTTTAATGTGAGGGAAAGATTATTGTTGCAGTGAATAAAAAGACAAATACAAAACTGCAGGTCTGTGAGGGGATGTGACACACCATTACCCCAACAACCACAACATCACCTACATTGTTACATAAAGGACACTATTCTTCATACACTGGCACAGAACATTGGCATTGGAGGGCTTCACCCAGTGGTCACCACAGGCTACTGACCTGCCAAAAATTAAAATCATATACTTTTCCATTTGCAATCAGTACTCTAGTATAGTTAGAATTTCCTTTTGGATAAACTACATCATATAGGTCAATAAACTGACAGACAATCCCCAGCTTTTAATTTGATTTGTCAAGAAAGTTTAAAAGTTGGTTTGCTACTTACCTAAAATCAAAAACCGACCTCAAATTAGTGGTATCAAGTTATATTTATTATAAATGGTAAGAATGGGTGTCACATTATTAGAAGCAAATTGGTCATGAGTACAAATCAGCTCGTTTAAAATCTGCAGCAGCTGTAAAAACCTGAATGGGGAAACTGACTGGGAAACACGCTTTACCTCCCTGAACAATTACCATTGAGGAACCCTTCAGCACAGCAATTAACCCCCAGTTGCTCCAGTGGAGCTGCTCAGTGGTGAATAGTCAAAGACAGCGGTTATACTGGGCAGCTCCCAGGTGTGAACACGTGTAATTGGGTAAATGTGAAGTGCGGCCTTGCTGAAAACGCTCATTCGAGCATTGCAGGATAAATAAAGAATGAGAGTTAAAGAAGGGTGCAAAACAGTCATTAATTAGCTTGTTAACACGTGTTTAACTTGTGTCAACTTATAGTAAATAATGTAGATGTTAATAAATTTTACATTCTGAGTCCATCAGGCAGCCTACTGGGGGAACCAACATTTCACATGATTGTCTCTGTGTTTTTCTTCCTCACTCATTCTCATCTCAAAGTAAACATAAAACGCCCATAAAACAGATGAAACACAGACGACAAGAAAAACACAGACACACATTGTCTCACTATCTTCCTCTGACTCATTGTCTCACACGCAAACACACACGCTTGGAGAGAAAACCAGTGCTGGGGAGTGATGGATGAATACAGGAGCTGTGTGGGTGTGGCTGAAATGGAACTAATGACAGAAAGACAAGCGAGCGAGTAAACAAGAAAACAAGTGGGAGACAAGAGAGCGAAAAAGAGATGGGGAGATACAGAGAAATAAAGACAAAGAGAGGCAGAGATGAATAGAAACAGGCAGACAAAAAAGAGTAGATGACAGCAATACATAAGAAATGGATGTAGCCTCTGTTGTTTGTTCCTTAAGTGCAGCCTGAAGCCAACTTTCGTTACTGCAGCTGAGTTATTGGAGCCATTATGCAGTATAGCTGCTACATTTAGAAATGATTCAACTGTTGCATGTAGTCCAGTGGAATTACTATAAGAGGCAGTCTTGGTTTAAGTGTTTTGGCCAAAGGGGGCACCATGGCATTGATCTGTGAAATAAATTTTGGGTAATATCTTTAAATTACAACTGATAGCCTTGAATTCCTTTTTATCCATTTTAGTGAAAGTGATTCGGTGTTAAGCTCTCATTGTGTAATGTAGTTTGTGGTTTCATCTTAACTACACATTATTCTAAGAGAGAATAAGTAAGTGAGAAATGATACCGCTTGAAAAGCTCTAATGGCTGATTAACTGGTTAAAAAGCTGCTTCATGACAACATCTTCACAACAATTGTCAAATGCTTTCTAAAAGTACCTGAAAGGTAGAAGATGTTTGAATTTATACCAGTATATGCATTAATACATTTTTGATAAATATAACTACACA